GATAATGGGTTTGAACTAGTGGAGCATTCTGCTCCCGTGACCATGCTTCGAAATGCCATCTTTATTATGTAGAAAGTCAAAAGGAAGAGAGAGTGTGTATTCGAAGATTCTTTGGCGGAAGCACGGACGACGCCTATATATATGAGATATTTTTAACCAAATCAAGGAATTACTTTTTGCCTCATATAGAAATTTTTTGACGGTCGAATCACGTGAAATCAACGCAATTTTTTTTTTTTTTTTTTAAAAAACCCCATTTTCTATCGGGTATGCTTTTGTGATAAATGATAGATGGCCTATGAAACACCGTTTATATTGTCTCAATACGGAAGTCTGAGGGAACTCGAACAGTTTACTAGAGAATTGCCTAAAGTTGTAAAGTCACTTTTTTTTTTTTAATGGGCAAAAATTTGTGATGAAATTTCCTGTCACGGTTGAAAATACGCAAACATTCCTCCTCAAAATATCACTTTTGCACAGGAATTACATGCGCACTTAAATGGCTCCATAAGTCCGGAAACATTGCAACATTTGGTAGACCATAAGAAGGAAGAGAAACCCGAGTTGGTGAATTTTAGAATTCCCAAGCAAAAATTGGATACAATTAATGAGTAATTATTAAAATAAGCATGGTCGCAAATTGAAGAGGAGTCCCAAAAAACATTTTTGCATATAAAAAAAACTTCACGTCACTTAATTATTGCACTTTTTGATATTTTTTTTAAATGATGAAAACCATGTAAATAATTCATTTGTAAATTGCTAAAAGGATATCCACGCTTCCCTTTTAGGGACTCATCGTTACCACAGACAATACTTTTGTTGTCAGATGCTAAAGATGGCCCTCTATTTTTTGTTTTCTTTTCTAGCTTCTTTACGATATTTCACTTTATCTATCAACTCACCGACGACGAAGAAGCTGTAGCGTATATTACGGAATCCGTGATTCGCGATTTTCATAAAGATGGAGTAAAATACTTGGAATTAAGAAGCACCCCGAGGAAGAACGAGAATAATGGTTACTATAACCGTCCTAATTCACGTGAAAAGTTGCATATCACACTAATTATCGCGATTTTCAGGAATGACCAGTGAATCTTACGTCAAGGCAATCATCTCGGTTATCCAAAAATTTCCATCTTCCGAATGCAATATTATAGTGAGATTGATTCTTAGCGTCAATCGCAAGGACACATTGGAGAGCGCGATGGAAACCGTTGACCTCGCGATAAAGTACAAAAAGGCTGGTGTGGTCGGCGTCGACCTCTGTAATGATCCTACCGTAGGTGAACATTTGAAATCTCGGGCTGAATTTGATGAATACGAAATCTAAGCATGGTTATTTTTGTTAAGCAAGAAAGGACACATCGAAAATGTTAAGCCTGCTTTTATCAAGGCAAAAAATCACGGGTTAAAAGTCACTTTGCATTTTGGAGAGGTCAGTGGGTCAATGATCGCAATCTATGTCTGTCTATATGTCAGGTGATTTGTAAAGATTTTGCTTAGGTCGAGTCGAACATATCCGAACACGCGTCAATGCTTACGATTCCCCCGGATCGACTTGGGCACGCAACATTTCTCGATCCAGATTCAAGAAC